TTAAGTTTGCCCAGCAGTTCCTTTTTTTTTTCATCATATACAAGACATTTGGAGGGGACTCAGCTGGGACAGCTGACCTCAGCTGACCAAAGGGATAGTCCATACCATTTGACATTGTGTTCAGCAATAAAGGCTGGGAGAAGAAGGAAGGGAGAACATTGGCAGTGACCGCACGAAGTCCCCCAAAGCAACCGCTATACTTGATGGAGCCCTGCTTTCCTGGACATGCCTCTGAACACCTGCCTGCTGATGGGAAGCACTGATACTTTGTTTTGCTTTACCTGTTAAGCTGCTTTTATCTCAACCCATGAATTTTCCTGCTTTTACCCTTCTGATTCTCCCCCTGTACCACTGTAGGGGTGAATGAGCAAGAGGCTGTGTGGGGCTTTGTCGCTAGCTGGGGTTAAACCGTGACAACACCTAGCCACAGCTTGACTGGACGCTGGAAATCTCACTGCCACCTTTTTCACCTCGGACAACATTTTTTTTACAAACAAGAAAAGATGGAAACAGCAGGGCGAGATGGTCAACAAAATGGAGCAGCAGTGGAAAACACACCCATTTACAGGTACAATTTCACATGCTGTCTTGACCACACTACTCAGCATAAGCTACTATCAAAATACGGTGACAGTTACCTCACCTTACTAGAAACTTGGAATTTCTGATTTCAGAAATTTTCTAATGGCGTATTCAGTGTAACATCTGTACCAGAATTGCCTAATTCAGAGTGCTAATGAAAGCTGGTTTCTTAAGAAAGATGCAAACACTAGAAGCCTCCTTGAAGAATGGCACTTCAGAGTAACATTCTGTCAGTGATAACTGACTGATGGTAAAAAGGGCTGTATGTTCCCTCTTTAAGGCTATTTGCTTTCACTGTTTCACTACAGGACCAAGCTAAGCATCAACTGCGATTCTCTGCTTTCCTGTTTTGAGTAATACCTTCCTCCTGGCTGCAAGGATTTTTCTCTGCCACGACCCTGAACAATTATTTATTTGGCATAATAAAAATGCCTTTTTTTTTTTTGTTATTAGCTTTGAATATAAATTCCAACTTCAGTGAATGCTTTTTACATTTTAATTATACCAGGACAAATAAGAATATCTATACTTTCTATACATTTTTTTATAATGTTTGTTCTTACTTTGTGAACTTCTGTCATGATGTTTTGGATTTCTCTTCTAAGCATGCCTGAACTGATGATTCACTACCTTAGCAAGACCAAATACTTCCCATTCCAACATATATTCCAAACACACACAAAACTGTGATGGCTGTTTCAAGATTGTTGTTTTGACCTTACTGCAGTAAGATCAATTACAGAGTAAGAAGCAAAGCTTAGATGGATTCAAAACAGATACAGGGAAAAAAAAAAAAAACAAAAAACAAAAAAACAGAAGGGGCAGGAGACTGCATAATGATGTCCTTTGCATTCATAAGCAGGTCCAATGCACCCTGTGTACAGATGCACTTCAGACTTTTTTTCTGCAGCACAAAGTTTTCCTGAGCAGTACTAGACTCTGGAAGACCTCCTTACTCCACACAAATCTCATTGTCACCATTTCTCTATGAAGTCTATAAAATTAAGAGGGGGCAATTCTATCACTTTTTGTTTATGGAGATTTTAAAGGAGACAGCATCAAAGCTCTGCTGAAGTCAAAACAAACAATCGCCACTACTTTCCCCTTGTCCACTGAGTTAAGTCACTTCTCCGTAAAAGAGTGACCAGATTGCTCAGAGAAGATCTCCCCTTCCTAAAACTTTGCTGACAACTCCCAGTCTCTATTCTGTTCTTAGAGCATTTGGGAACAGCTTCCAAGGCTGGCTCAACTGCCTTCCCAGCAATCAAGGTCAGGGTGACCAGTTTCCCAGATGCTCCCTCCTGTTCTTCTTGAAAAGAGGAGTGTCATTTTCTGTCTTCCAGTCCTCAGGTGACTCCCCTAATCACCATGACCTTTCAAAGATGATTGAAAGTGGCCTTGCAATGATGTCAGCCAACTCTCTCATCACTCAGGGGTGCATCAAATCAGGTCCCCTGGATTTGTGTATGCCCCATCTGTTCAAATGTTCCCCAGCCTTTTCCTCCTCCACCAAAAGTAAGTCATCCTTCCTCCAGACATTTCAAATGGTCTGAGGCCCATGATTCCTGAAGGCAAACTTTAGAATTAAGGAGCAAGATGAGGAAGTACTGAACACCTCAGTCTGTTCTGTGTCCTTTATTACTAGGTCCCCTGTCCTATTCAGCTATGGGCCCACATTTTCCCCCATCTTCCTTCTGCTGCTGATACACCTGTAGAAGCTGTTGCTGCTGTCCTTCACATTCCCAGCCAAGACCAACTCCAGATGGGCTCTGGCTGTCCTAACCCCACCCCTACACACTCACACAGTAATAGAATACAAATTAGTATTTGAGCATGAATTCATGTGGCTTTTGCAGGGCAAGTTGTGCCATACAGTCTGTGCTGGAGTCCTATGAACAGCTCTTGGGGAGCTGCCACAAAATGCTTAGATTCCCAGAAGTCCCTCAGTGAATACTTTTAAGAAAACAACAGCCTTATTAGAACAGAAAGTCTTGCATGGGTGAGTCACTGGCTAAACTTCAGGAAGTGAACATGAAATGAACAGGTCTCCCTTTGGAAGGGTAGCAAAAGTGTAGATCTACATATTTTTTTGCTGGCATCTGTGGTGTTCAATGTATTTGTAAGTAACCTGGGAAAGAACACTTTCAATGATACCATTCTGAACAAGTTCTTTAAAAAAAATGGCTTACTGTGAAGAATTTCAGGACAAGTGTTAAGACTTCACTGAGTGACCAGTAAAATGACAGACAAAATAACATGTAGACACACAGACACATGCAATACGCACAGGTCAAAAACACACACTAACTTCACAAAGAAAGTAGTAGGTTCAAAACCAGCTATGACCATTCAGATGAGCTTAATGAATACAAAATAACTTTTGCAAATATAAATAGATCTATGTTTGCACAGCAGTCAAAGACAAAATTTATAATCAGGAATACTAGGAAATCAATTGAGAATGCAAAGGAAAACACGACTGTAGCATTATTATGTGTATAAATGCCTGGTTTGTCCATAGCTTGACGACTGTGCTCAGCTCTGATTAAAAGAGATATAGTAGAACTTAAAAGGGTGCAGAGAATAGCTACAGAATGATCAGTCATTCTCCTGTCATTCAGAGAAGCTGTTCCATGGGGGTGCAGGGGTGAACCAAAAGAGGGCAACCAGGGTCTTAAAAACTCATTAACAGCTTGGTGAAAGTGGATAGTAATTTAAGAGTAGGACCAGACTCAAAACTACAGCAAATGATTCTTCATAAAAAATAGAGTCAATTATTTGTCAAAGGTTCCTGTATGCAAGAAATTTGCACAAGATGACAGGAAGAAGTTTGTGACAGAGAAAACTGCTGAGGCTGACTAAAACATAAACCATCCCTGGCCAGGTGTAAACAGCTGGCAAAAGTTTATTTGCTCTGTTCGTACTCTTCTCCTGTCATCTGCCCATGATCACTGCAGAAGACTGGATACTGGTCGAGATCATAATGGTTGTTCCAAAGTTAAATGCTTTACCAAATCTAAAACAAAGCTTTATAGACACCACTAAATAGACATGAAAGGAAACAATGTACACAGCTGGAAGTTTCTCCTATTCTCTACCACATACCTGTACACTGAACCTACTAATTCTCTTGTGTTTGACTGTAATACAGAAGAACTTCTAAATGAGGAACCAAACTTGCAGAATTTTATAGGCTTTGAATCAACGCCATTGGTGTATCACAAACCTTCCAAGGCATAATCTGAAACTTAAACTGTCGGAACAAAGTTTTGGAAAAGAAGACTCAATCTGCAAATAGAAAGCTATTCTATGGACAGCACACATACTGCATCTGTTAATTCTCCTCAAGCAGCTTCTACCTATTTGGTACAGCAAGCACCTACAGCTACCATGGCTGCTACATTTAGACATATAGTGACTGACTAGCCAGTACATGCATGCTGACTTGCTACCTTATTTCTGCCACTGCCAATAGTTAAGGAACCAAGTTATAACTTCTTTCTCTCAATGAAGGCATAATGTAGTCACTGCCTCTTTCCTAACATACTCCATATTGAAAAATATTTGTGTAGAAATTTGGTACTTTTGAAACCTCCTGTCCTAGGTAGTGATACTAGTCAACAGGCTTAAACTACAGGTTTGGGCAGTGAAATGACAGACAGACTTTTGCACTCTCTCTCCCTTTACTTAGTTTTCAAGTTATATATTGACTCAACTACAACATTTTTAAACAGCTTTTTAGCGTGCAGCTTTACTCACATATTTTGTCGGAATCTGTGTGAACTGCCTGAATAACAGAAGTTCTGAGAATCACTTCAACATCAGAGGCTATTTTCAGAAGCTAGTAAAAATAAACAGAAACAAACAAACAACACAACAGAGTAATTTAAATTAGATGCAATTATTCCTGAAGATACTTTCCACACTAGACAGCTATTCAAAAAATAAAGCAAATCAGTTCCATTATTCAGTTAGATATGCACTTTTTATGCATAGCTTTTCGTTTGAGGATCCTGGAATAACTTACAGGCTGATTTACAAGCTACCCTGACATACATCATGAGGAAGGAAACTTCTGCTTAGCAACATACAGCAGTATAAAATCTACATACCAAATTAAAACTGTGAACAATAAGGTAGACTGCAACTAACAAAACAATAGTTAGTTTCCAGTGACCAAAGACGTTGGTGAATGCCTCAGTAACATCTGACTACCTCTAGTGAAAGGGCTATTTGGTTATTTTAACTTTCCTGCTCTTGAAATAATGAGACAAAAACAAAAACATAACATGACAAGAATAAAGAATACTGAGGTTTCACAGGAAAGCAGTAAAGGAACAAGGCACTAACTATTGATTAGCAGAGGCATTAAAATTTGGCAAAAGGCTTAGAATTCCTTCCCTCATTAAGAGAATGAGCAGAAACACCATTGTTAGTTTTGCTGAACAATTGAAAGAAGGCAAATACTTGGTCACATGACACCTGTTAAAGAAAATAAATTAAGTTTCACAAGTGAGACACTTTGGGAGATGATGCTTAGGCTAGGAAGCAGCATGTAACAGCAGAAGTGGTTCTCTGCAGGAGCTAGAGCTCAAGACTTGACATCTACACTGCAGTTCTCCTCCTCCCCTTCAAGGCTTTGGACTAGGTATCCTCCAGCCCCCTACGGAATGCCCATCAGCAGCTCGGCTGCGTGATCCTGAAGCCCATCTCCTGCTTTGTCTTCCAGGAATGCTGCAGTTTGCTCTGGGTCTGCCTCACAGAACAAGCCAGATAATAGCAAGTGGAGATAACCAAGGTAACTTCAGAAGCTCACTTGTGACCTGAACGAAACTGCTGCAGTAGATTCAGCTGCCACATCTCACATGCTAATACTGTGGAGAGTTACACTTGCCTCCTTAGGTCACTGTATAACTAGGTATTTGATGTTACCTTAGAAGACATTGCAGCTTTCTGTTCTAGCAAAGAAGCCCACATTTGTTTGGTCATTACTCATTTTTCTTAGCTGCTGTCCAGAGCAGAACACTAACACCCTGTCCTTATGGAAGCAAATGCCCAAATTCTTACAAGTCTTGTGTATCACTTGATTCAGTTTCTCTGCATCTGAGACTATTTAGTATATATCTATATAGTAAATGTGATGGCTTCTATGATATTCTGTGATTCTGTAGTTGTGATAAAAGTCTAGAATTTCTTCCACTAACACATTTAATCAAGGTGTCAATTAACCCCCCCAAAAAAAGTTACATATATGTATTTTGTAGGCTGCCATTCCTAACAAATTCAGATCTAAAAATTAGATTAAGTACTTCTCCTGTGTATCTATTAACAAAAAGAGCATACAATTTAAGAGATCAGCCATCAAGAACACAAACACAAGCATTTTTATAGGGGCCAGATAACAAGCAGAAATGCTAGAAATCCCTAAATAAATGCTCAAAGCTATTTATGTTACTGTCCTGAGGCTGGTGTGATGTGAAGGTTTAGATTCACTTCTGAAAAGGACAGATAGAGGTTCTTTCTTCCAGCTGGTGCCCAACGACAATGTAAATACAGTTAAAAGGCTGAACGACGATGACTACATTATTCACTCAGTATGGATGTTAAGAACTAAAAACACCTAAAATACAGAAGTTTCACTTCAGACCTCCATAAGTTTTAGAAAAATGGCTCAGTAAAAAGTGTTACGATAATGGCAAAAATAACTCACGTAATGAGTCTACAGGATATTCTACTCCTTGTAAGGCACCATGTGGGAATAAGCAGCAGAAACCCCTCAGTAATGTAATTAACACCTCTGTATTAGACTAGTCATGATCATTTAGCTGGTTTTTGCCTCCCACAAAAGATGCTGCCTCATTAGTAACCAGGAATCAAATTAACTTCCTATGTACGTCAGCAACTGAACAGATTAGTCAATTACTCTGATTCCTTCTGTGCTTGACTATACAACAAAGACCAGGTAAAATTAAGTGACCACAGCTCAGACAGGTATTATGAGCAAAGTATACAAAATTACATAATAGCAACATAAAACATTTTTCATTTATTTTTTTATAGCTTCAAAATAAGCACACCAGACTACCATAGGACACTTTCTCCTTCTGTATTCTTGTATGTGCAAAATTTTATGACATACTATAAACACCAATGGAAGTATCAATATATTTAGAAACAAGGGGCCACGTAAAAGACTTTTCAAACTCACCTGTCTCTCACAATGTCTCAGTAAGTACTTACATGGGTTTAACAGCTCCTTTAAGTAAAAAAATCTCCTATGTAAGTATTCTTATGCAAAGCGAAAAAAGAAATGAAAACAAGAAGTACCTCATTGATCTTCTCTTCAGATGTCTCATCTTGGTTATTTCTGAATTCTTGATTTATCTTTTGCCTTGCAGCTAAATAAAATAAACAAAATAACAAAAGTGTGGACAAAAAATGTTATCTTTTCTTTGTCACTGCCTCAAAGCTCAGAATCCTAAGTCCTTAATAGTACCTTCCCAGTGCACTCTGCCTCAAGAATTTCAATGCAAGATTTCCATGGAATTCAGGTCATGTCATAATTTAAGTTGACTAGCATAGGAATAAAACACAATTGCCTATCCAGCCTTCTGAGCATTAAAAAAACCTAACATACTGAAGGAACTACTTAAAGTTGGTTTACTAAAAAAGCAGTATTTATCCCCTAAGGAGAAACCATACACAGAGAATCAACTCAAATCCATGAACTGAAGTGGGAAAAAACAGACAAATAAAACAAACACCCTCCTCCCGGCCACAAAAAAAATAAGTCCCAGGGGAGAACACCAAGTTTCCAAAAACAGATGTTTTGCTTATGAAATGTGGCCTGAGTCTAACAACCACGTATTTGTTTCAAATTAAAGGATGTCTCATTACAGACACACAAGTTTTCTCAATTACTACTTTTAAAATGTGGAAAGGAAAAATTTAAAGATTATGTTAAGAATTCTCTTTGTGTATTCAGAGAATAAAGTTCCACAGAAAGATAGGTAAACATGCACCACACACACAGAGAAAGTATCTTACCTTCAAGGGCTCTGGTATCATTTTTAAAAACTTCTTGTCGGGTTCTGTGTAATAATTTAAAAAGCTTCAAGACCTGTCAATACAATATCAGCAGAATCAGCTTGTTTGCTAGGATACTTCGTGAAAATGAACCTGTTGCAAATAACAGTGTTCTGGCTGATAGTTCATGTTCTTTCCATTTAGCACAGAAGCCAGTATGGAATCAGTATCTACGGTACTTTACCTCAATTCCTGATCAAATTATTTGCAGCCAAAGCAGATGTGAAGGAATCAAAATCCCAGACAGCTCAAGATGTTTCAAATTATTCTAACATGCTACAGACTATTAAAACTACCTAAATAATCATTTGGCATAAAAAGAATGTAATTCTGAAAATACACTGATGCAAGTTTATTTATTGTGTCAATTACAAGTAAACCAGAAAGAACTGGAATGACTCTAAGAGTCAAGTCTCCTGAAGGGGTTATCAAGGGTACATCACTGGACACTCTCTGGTTATGAAAAAAAGATAGAAATTGCACAGAAATTGTTTTCTCGCAATAAATATTCCAAAAATGTCTTAGAAGGATGCAGAAGAAACACAGTGAAGGTGTTTCTTCAGAACCGAGAAATGACCATCTTCTTTATCAGCATGCTTTGTATATGTGTGTATATATAAGCTGGCTATGCAAACAAGACTGTCACCCAATAGTAAAGCATCAGTGAAAACATCTTGGCAGGGCTCTGAAAAAAGTGTTGCCTCTGATTTAAATTCATCAGTGACAGAGAGCGACAGCAATCTTCTCTGACAGCTGTTACTTCCAACAGATGACAACACATTTTTAGTTTTTTCAAGGTAAGTGGACAAACCAGTGCATTCTCAACTGGTATGAATCTCATGAAAGTTTAAGTAAAAAACTTTTGTCACTTTCACAAGAATTAGCATGTGAGTGGACAATCAGCTAAATCAACCTGAACAGATATATAAAACAGAACATGGATTTTTCAGCTTCTGCGTCCGTAATAAATAGGAACTTATCAGAACCATGTTGCCTTTAATTGTAGCATTCCCTAGGTGGCTGAATCAGTGGAAAGTAAACCATAGAATCATAAAATAGTTTGGGTTGGAAAGCACCTTAAAGATCGTCTAGTTCCAACCACCTGCCATGGGCAGGGACACCTCCCACTAGACCGGATTGCTCAAGGCCCCACCCAACCTGCTTTTGAACACAGCCAGTGATGGAGCATCCCTGGCTTCCCTGGGCAACCTGTTCCAGTGACTCAACACCCTCATAGTGAAGAACTTCTTCCTTACAACTCAATTAAATCTACCCTTTTCCACATTCAACCTGTTACTCCTCATCCCATCACTACAAGACCCTGCAAAAAGTCCCTCTCCAGCTTTCTTGTAGGCCCCCTTCAGATACTGGAAGGCTAGAATAAAGTCTCCCCACAGCCTTCTCTTCTCCAGGCTGAACAACCCCAACTTTTTCAGCCTGTCCTCACAGCAGAAGTGTTCCTGACCACTCATCATCTTCATTGCCCTCCTCTGGACCTGCTCCAACAGGTCCATGTCCTTCCTGTGCTGGGGGCTCCAAAGCTGAAAGCAGTACTCCAGGTGAGGCTCTCATTAGAGCAGAGCAGAGGGGGAAGAGTCACTTTCCTCAACCTGCTGGCCATGCTTCTTTTGATGTAGCCAGGACATGGTTGGCTTTCTAGGCTGCATTTGTACATTGTTGGCTCATGTTTAGTTTTTCATCAACCAGCACCCTCAAGTCTTCCTCCTCAGGCCTGCTCTCAATCCAGTCATTGCCAAGCCTGCATTTGTGCTTGGGATTGCCCCAGCCCAGGTGTGGGACCTTGTACTTGGCCTTGTTGTATCTCATGAGTTTGGCCTGGGCCCACCTCTCAAGCCTATCAAGGTCCCTCTGGATGGATAGCATCCCTTTCCACCAGCCACACCATACAGCTTGGTGCCATCCACAAACTGGAGGGTGACAATCCTTTCCCCCCAGCCACACCATACAGCTTGGTGTCATCCACAAACTTGCTGAGGGTGCACTCAATCCATGTCACTGACACAGACACTGAACAGCACCAGACCCAGTACCGAGCCCTGGATACATCTCCTGACGCGTTTTATCCTCTACTTCATTGTCATTATTCAACTTATTACCTGCTTCTGCAATGGCCTTCACATGAAAAACGTTACTATACCCTAATTTTGTGTCCTTGTTGCCCTGAGGTCTCTGTTGAGGCTATTCATGTCAGGAGGGCTACAAAAAAAGCTCCCACCCTCCAGGGACACACAAGAGAAAACTCCCCCGAGTATACGATTAGTTTCTGGTTACTATTAGAGACCAAGGTCGCAAATGCGAGGGGAAACACAAAGTCCATCCCGCGCTGCAACCGCTCCACAGCC